GGGGCGTTAGGTTGCCCGGGGGCATTCACTGTAGCGCAGCTGATCCAGCGCCGTGACACTCAGATCAGGCTGCTGCCCGCAGCTGTAAGGGTTTTCCCTGTCAAATGCTGACTGTTATTTAAACCTCTCCTTGACACAAAACATTACCAGGTTGAAAGCACCCTGACTGCCAGAGGAACCGCTTCTCGGCAGAAACTGGGAATGGTGGAGTTGGACTCGCCGTGGAATTGTTCGGGCATTTGTCACCTGCCATTGTTTGTCTAAGGAAACGTGTTTGACAATTTCCAGTTTTTCCTTAGATCTCGTGATGGACTTTAGCCTTTTAATAAATGTTAGTATATCAGATCGTGTCCTTGACAGTATTTTACTTGTATGAACCATGATAAAACATTAAAATCTTCATACTCTTCAGGCAGACGTGTCAATAAACGAGGAAGAGAAGCATAGCATACGATATATGTCAGAGTAACGTTCCTTTCTAGCTTTCTCATCAACAGTAAAAATGTTTACAATGTATGCCAAGATCTTCAGTTTCTATCTAACACCAGTTAGAGGTTCTGATCTTACAGAAATTGTGTTATAATGGCCTCAGCCTCATTGCTAGGAAACAATAGATCCCAATTTTTTTATTCCTGCTCTAACTCCTGTGCTGAATAGTGACTGGATACTGTACAGGTTTATGTTATATGGCTGCAGTTAAATGGTCTGATGCATTTTGCTCTGGGTTTCAGGCCAGAAGCATGCATTTTCTACAAGAACATCCCAGCAACACGCTGTAAATATTAAAAGTTAATATATTATGTGTCGATATTTGAAAAAGAAAGTACTTTGACTATTTCATTTTTAAAAAATAAAGGTGCAAACTGATGGTGTGTGAAGTTGTCTTTGTTTACACCACATATTTGGGGTATTCTGGTCGTGTCACTAAAAGGTACTTCCATACAGCTAAATAAGGGCTTCAGAAAATACTGGTCGATTCAAAAGTTGGGGGGCAGGGGGTTGCTAGCAAGATTTAATTTTACTTCTGATTCACCACAGTTCATGCATGTAACTCTGCAGGTTTCACTGCAGGTGAAGTTACAGCTGGTTTCTGTGCACAGGTTATCACATTTCATCAGAACAAAATGTGAGAGAAAAAAATTCTGCTAAATGCCCTTGTGCTCCCAAGGACTGAGTGGGTGAAGTCAGCGGTGGTGGTAGGGGACGAGGAGTGAAGCGTAACTACCTGTACCTGAGAATTGTCTCAAATGGATGATGATGAATGACTGTGGGTATCAAAAGTATGTACATGCGGAAAAATAAAAAGCCCAGTGCATGCAGGAGAGAGGAGGAGACTGAACCGGAGGGGCAAAAGGAATGTTTAAAGCTAAAGGAAAAGTTACGTGGTGAAAAACAGATCGGACTGGGCTGGGCGATGGCCCGGTGTGAGGGCGGAGGCTGGAAGAGCTGTGTTGGCTGGATAAGAAGGAAGCAAGCCCGGAGGGGTGCTCTAGTAAAAAAGGTGAGAAAACAAGCCAGGGCAGTAGCCAGGCAGTAGGGGAGGGCTTAGCAGGGGCACAACCAGAGCTGTGTCAGGATTAGTTGCTGCAGAGGAATGGCATTGCCTTTGCTGCGGAGAGAGCAGAGCGGGGTGGGCTGGGGCAGGGGACGCAGAGTCCCCACTGTGAGCGCCAAAATCAGCCGTGGGAGGTGGGGCTGCGGCACCAAGGGAAGGGGGGTCAGGGCAGAGCGATCGCAGCAGCGGGGGGCTGCAGGCGGGAGTGGCTGCAGCCGAGCAGCGGTGGTGGGAAGGAAGCGGCAGGTGATACAGCCATTACCTGGGAAGTCAGGCCCACAAAGTGCGGCTGCTGCTCTCAAAAAGGATCCGTAGCTCTCCACTCCTAAGTCAATGCATGAAATCTGTATCATTTCCATACTACTGTTCCCATAACCAAACATGGACTCCCTGTCCCTCAGGTACCATGAGCCTCTCTCTCTGTTTCCACCTTGTTTAAGCCTACAGCACTTCCAGGCCTTTGGGTATCCAAAAGAAACAACACAAACAAGCCTCTGTCTTAATAATTTACATCAGAAACTGAAGCAACATTCTCAGCTTTTTTTTAAAAAAGGCATCTTCTGGGCCATTCTATGTATTTTTTAGAAGAACAATGCACTTCTGGAGTCAAACCCGTTATCCTCAGCTCACCGCACCGCAGAGGGGACGCTTCTCCTGTGCCACGGGCTTTGCACGTGCCGCACTGACAGCCTCAGCCTTTGCCTGAAGTCAATAGGACATTTCTATAGGAAACAGCCCTCGGGCAAAGTGCTTCCCACTCCATATATGCAATGGTCTGCCACAGACCATTTCCAAGGCCACCCAGTCCCACTCCCAGGAGAGGCCAGGCAAACCGGGCATCCAGACCCAGCACTCAGAAAGCAAAAGGACCCTCCGGGGAAGCCGGGGGGGCATACATGCGCTCCGCCGGCACCTGGCCGGTGGGATGGCTTTGGGGAAGGACTGTTTGCAGGAGCACAAAGCTGGAGAGAAACATCCAGGGAGCAGCTGTCGCAGATGTGCAGCAAACCGGGAAAGCTTTAAGGCAGAGAGGAGGAGGAGGGAAAGGCTCGATGGGCACAAGCGACAGCAAAGCAGCCGGTGCTGCGGATGTTGCGCTCCGTGCTGGCGCAGGGCAGTTCAGTGCCTCCATGGCTGGCATTTGCTGAATAAATATTATGCTTTTAAATATTTTATTAGAGAGTAAATTACGCTGGATCTGCCACTCTATGGCACTGTATTAAGATAATACCCTTGTTTCAACCAACAAGGAAATGTTACAAAGAGGCACAGAGCAACACATGCATGCACAGTGTAAGATACGGTGTGGCCAGTGATGGGGACAGAGCATTTCACTGCAGATGAAATTTGGCCTTTATTTAGACAGCAACTGAGTAATGAACTGAAATTGTCACAACTTTGCAACAGTATTGCCCACCAGTCTCTGGTATGATGGGGCTGTTTATTTATTGCATTTATTCCCATTGCTGTTTTACACGGAACATGTTGTGCTTCGCAGAAAATGTTTTAGTGCTCGCACTGTCACACTTGCTCTCACACACACGCGCGCACTCTCAGGGCCAGGGAAGACCAAAAAAAAAGGTAAACCTTCTGGGCTTAAATGCTGCTTTGGAGCAGCGCAACCTTGCTGGATCCTGCACTTGCAGCCCTTTTAGCTCTGTTGCTGCTGCATCCAGCGTGCCTGTGAAAACAAGGCAGGATCCAGGGCATGAGCAATTAAGTAGGGATTTTTCACACATGGGCGAAGGAGGGTACATGCAGGATACCTACCCCCATATAAGTAGTCTGTATGCGGATACAAACATGTGCTGGGACTCTTGTAGGGAGGTGGCTGCTGCCTCGGGAGTCGCCACCAGCCCCAGGCAGCTGCGGTGCCTCTCACGCTGCCGCTGAGCCACGGCTCGGCCGTGTCTGGTGGAGTCTGCTCTGGTTTGTTCCACTGAGCCTGTAGTCTGGTGTTTCTGGAAAAATCCTCTTTACCTCTTACGAAACATTTCCTTCCTTCCAAGTCATAAAGAAAAAATTGGAAGTATAGGCACGAAATATTTAACCAGAGCAACCCAAAGGTGACTATACAGTGTTTAAGAGTTGTTTTTTTAAAATACATATATTTGTATTCCATTTGTAATCACCGTTAGTCTTGTGCTTTGGAAGGGGTAGTGGGAGAATCACATCGTTTTGACAGTCAGGACCACTTGTGCCGGTTGAAGCCTGACCAAGGGATGGTACAAACTCCCCAGCCAGCCCAGAGGCACCCCCCTTGCAGACTGACCACACACCAAGGCTGGGCCAGTGCTGGGGTCCCTCCCAAAGCTCACAGGAGCTCGTGCAAGCTTGCCTGGCAGAAACCCACACGGAGGGAGCCCAGGCCATGTCTACCACCCTTTGACTGCAGTGCAGAGTGCTGTCTCCGGAAACAAGAGGGCTGTAGGACATCCAGTCTGTTCAGAAATGTTTCCTGCTGTCTGCCAGTTCAGGCAGGACAGTGTCATCGTGCTTGTTAAACCCTGCGTGTAAAAGGCACTCCACATCATTGCCCAATAGCCACTGCTAACCCTGCGCAGCTGACGAGTCCTGGAGAGTCAAACCTCTTCTCCGGGAGCCCAGCGGCAGCATGGAAACACACAGAGACAGGTAAAGAAAAGCAGAGAAACTGTCATGCCCAAACAATATATTTTTAAAAACTGTATGCAGGAGTAGTTTGTTTCAAGTACAGAGAATACCTAAAAGCAAAGAACAATGTTCTCCACTTCACTGGTCGTTCTGCTTTGCTCAGTGTATTGTTTAAGCTTTTGATAGTTTGTGCAAATGACAAATTTTCTACATTTTGTTGCAGTGGTGGCCAGTTCTGCTGCGTTACAGGGCAGAGCGCCTGATGTGATGGGAAATCAGTCAGCTGGGATCCTCATGGTGCCTCTTCTGGAATAGCTTTAGGAACTGTATGAATGACAGACACACACAGCCCACCCAAGGCAAGAACACTTTAATGTAAGCACTTTTCCGAAGGCCATAAAAGGGGACTTGCCCAGTTCTGCATAAATGCCAACCAGAACAAAGCAAAGCAGAGTCCAAAGTTAAGTAATGTAAAATTAGTGACTAATAATTAATTAGGGACTAATATTGATGTGAAAAATATTTTATACTTGAGAGTACAAAGAGAAAAAAAGACATTACACTATATAGTAGTTTATATTTTTTATCCTCCCTTAGAAAGAAAGAAAAAAAAAAAACAAAAAAAAAAACCCAAACAACCCTGAATTCGAAACATTCTGAAACTTAAAACTTCTAAATTTTGAGCTAGAAATTCTATGAAATACACATTTCTGCAAATGTTACAAGAAAACTCATGGAGTTGTATTAACTATCATATAAATCATTATGTTCTAGAGCATGGGCTAGAGGAGACACTGGAAGATATGGTTATGTCACACTTGGGGAAACGTCTTCATGATGGTTGCAGATGGAAGTCATGGCCTTCACTTCTCCCTAAGGAAAATAATCACAAAGGTATGAAAGGATGAACACTGCAAGAAAATAGACAGATCAGAAGGTTCGTACCTACAAGAATGAGGGCACCAGGGAGGGCAGGTAGCCACCACCAGTATGGCACTCAGGAATTTACATATGCAAAATCCATTTTCTCATCACATTGGCAGGCCCTATCCTTAATGAGCACCTGAGTGCCAGCATCCCAACCACACTGTAGCACAGTTAGGGCATATTTTTGGCAATGCCGCCCTGCTGGCTAGTTCAGGTCAAAGATGCAAAAAGTCTAAGTCCTCCATCCCCACCATGGAAGGCTCTGCTCAGACGTAGCCGAGGCTCCCTCCGCCCGACAAGTACCTGGGGAGTATTTGGCTTTTGCGTGGTTGATGACCGGGTGCTTCAGGGGTGTTACGATGCCTTGGTCGGGTTTCTGGAAAGCCGAAATGAGGTTGTGCACTTTCCTAAAGAGCCTCCGATGGACCCCGGGCGCTGTCTGTGAAGCCGAAGGGTGGGAGGTGAGAGGGGGTGCTGGGTGCAGAACGCCTGTGCAGGGCTCGGGGCGCTGGCACAGAAGCCTTGTCCTCAGAAATGTGCACACTTCCCACGGAAGGAGCCAGTCCTTCACTGAGACCGCCTGATGCGCCAACTTAAAATGAGTCAATGAGCCATACCGCTCTCCTCCTTCCCCAGGGCATCGCCGCCTCCCTGCACTAAGATTGGTTTCCAGCAGTGTGCTGCTATAAGGCTGGAAGAGGGACGATTTCTTAATCACTACAAGAAAAACCCAGAGCCTGCCGTGCTTATTAGGCAAATTCCCAACTGATCTTTCACTATTTCTGATCCTGATGTATTGCAGCCAGTGTTTTAACCTCCAGGCTGGGGTTTATAGGTAAGATATTTCCAGCCTGGAAATACGAGTAAGATGATAATCTAGAGAGCTACCTGGCACTTACCGGGGAGGGGGAGTCCTTACACCACTAAATTCAGGCATGGACACAGCCTCTTTGCAAGCCTTTCTCTGAGCGTTCAATACTGGCTTATGTGTTCACTGAGTATTCCCGTCTGCCTCTTGTACAAAGGCAGCAGCAAAATGTTACCTATTTATTAAGAGCCAGAGGTTTTCTATCTTTCTACGTTAGCATCTTTTCAAACACTGTGAAATGAAAATATATCTGCTTTTAATCAAAAATCCAATGTTTCTGTTAAATCCTTCAGGGCATTCTTGTAATAACTCCTCCCCACCAAAGTCATGGGAGGACAAGCATAGGTCCTGCCGGCAGAGTCCCACCTGAGGGGCTCTGCTCTCACCCAGCAGTCGTGGCTTAAATCCTGCCCCACTGGCACCAGCTGGAGGCTTTGCACTGGCTGGGATTTTACCAGTACTCTTTTGATTTCCCTGCCTCGTCCCTTGAAAGATGGGTGTGACCTGAGCTTGCTGAGACCAACCAGCCACAGGGAAGGAAGCAGAGATAGGAAAGCACCAGCTGCAGCCCATTTTGGCCTTGGAGGCACATTTCATGGGGATAAGTTGGATTTAGGCTGTTGTTACTAACAGCTGAGACCAGCATGGTCTAAACAACGTTTACTTTAAGGTTTCTGTTGGCTGAAAGGAAGGGTTGGACTCATGGGTCTGTAGCTAGCACCTTTCCCTGCAGAGGATGTATTGAGAGTCCTGGGCCTTCAGGACACCTGTGGAACAATGACAAAGTTTGCCTAAAATACAGCGAGGGAAAGCCGTATGTAGGAAGCCAGTGGAGGTGATGGGGGAGCAGTTGCAGCAGGCCTATATAACACCAGAAAAACCTCACTGCAGACACTGACATTACCTGGGGCCATAAATTAAATTAAATTCCCCAAGCCAAGTCTGTTTTGCCCATGACAGTAATTTGTGGGTGATCTCTCCCTGTCCTTATCCCCACCCACGAGCCTTTCGTTATATTTTCTCCCCCTGTGCAGATGAGGAGGGGAGTGACAGAGTGGCTTTGGTGGGCACCTGGTGTCCAGCCAGGGTCAGTGCACCACACCTGGCATCCTTCCAGAGACACTAGCACTTGCCCTGGCACACCGGGCGCACCAGTACCCCCACCCCATCCCAAAAACCCTTCTGCTTGGGCAGTGCAAATCTACAGAGTGCTCCTGATGCCTTACAGGAACGAATGAGTGAATTACTCCTGGGTACCATTCCCAAGGGTGACAGCAATAATTGTTTACTCTGCAGTAATGTGAGTCACTTTTACTCCCCGATCTGCTTCTGAGTAACCCCAGGAATCAGTTTTGTATTCCAGAGCACTTCTATTATAATAATGGCCAAGGAATTATGCCTGTGTAGGAATTATTTAATGTTTGTAATCAGTGTTCATTAATGTGCAAACAGAAAGCTAATTATAAATTAATACACAGAGTACATCCAAAGAACAAGCCCTTCATAAAGGAAACACAGGTTAGCATTCCAATTGCATCAACCCAAATAGTTGTTTGTATTGCAAATGGTGTTATTCCACACTTGAATTACCAGATTCTTATCAGATGGGTGAAAATACATCTTGTATCAAGTTTTGGCTACGCTATATATATGGTTTGCACCAATGATGAATTAATCTGGAGAGAAATTAACTTTAAAACACTGTAGAAGATTGAAAATAATTTTCTTAAATATTCTGACAGTAATGGTACGTGGGATAGAAGGGAAATGATTGTGCTTGTCAAATTATAAAAACACAGGGTTTTTGCCATTTAAAATGATGCAAAATAATGCAGTATTGCATTATGCAACAGCTGAAATGTAACAGGGAAATAATTTATGAGTTCAGGACTGTCAGAAGTGGCACCAAGACATCTTAGTGATGGTCGCACTCAAGATCGATTACCTTAGATGAAAATTAGACTATGCGGAAACATGAATAATTTGGATATATTTCATTATATCAATATGAACATCAAAGAGGATGCAGAAATTTTCAGAAGAGAAAGGAGAATTACACACCTCAGCACTCCAGGACCCAGTTTCTGTCTTCGACACTCTGTAGGTATAAACGTAACCCTGATGCCTGTGAAAAAAAAAATCAACAGGTATTTATTACTCCTTTCTACTGTCAGGTTTCACAAGGGGTGCACTTTGTTATGTGGGAGTCAGTTCATCTGCTAACCTTTCCTTAAAAATACATTCACCCATAAAGGCTCTAGGTAGATAAAAAAACTGAGACGCAGGTCGGAAGCAGTGTCCAACCTACTGGGTTCTTTTGGATGAGAGCAATTCGTCTGACTCAGATCTAGTTTAGCAATATTCAGTTATTCTAGGTTAAGTTATGCTTTCATTTATGCTTCAGCATTTATTTTTTTTTCAGTGACCTCCTTTTACTGACACACACCAGACATACTTTCCCTGGAAAAAGAGAAGGTGCATTATTGGCAGATAACATTACTGTATTGTGATTGATTTAAATGCAGATGTTCCCAGAAGCAATAGCATGAGTGTAATTTATTTGGAAAGCTAGACCCACAAAAGCGAGATAAATTACTCTTTGCCTTACCCATATGTTCCTAATTCTCAAACACTGATAAAGGAGACTTGTAAGAGTGTGGAATCTTCCTTCTTTTTAAATCTGAGTCTTTCAAGAGTAGGAGTTGTACTCAAATAACACAAGACATACTCGTGTCCAGAGTCAGTCTTGCTTCTCTTATGAACCCACCACAATGAATGATTTACATGGCAGATTATTATACCGATATACGAAAATTTAACTCAGAGGCAGAGACAATTGATAGTAGTTTCATGGGTGCAACATTAGTTTAGATGGTATCAGATAAGAAAGGTTATATTTCATTCTACCTAGATTTACATGAATACACAGAAGAATTTTAGGGACCACTCCCTATTTCAGCATCAATTCTTATTCTTAAGAAAGCAGAAAACTACGCTATTTCTTTCCAATTATACATGGTATTATAGTAGTTACTACAAAATAGCAGAAACCATCAATGACACAGATACTATATGATTGCAATTACTTACGCTCTCTGTCACGGCTTCTGGATAAATTCTTGTTAAAAAGTCGTTACAGCAACCTTTGCAAAGCGGTGTCAGATATAATTTACCCAAGCAGGAAGTTGTTAACAGTTGTCACACTGCTATAACCTCATGGAGTGGGAGCAAAAACGCCTGTCGTGATTTGTGAGCTGTCCCCCCACCACTCCTCTCCCACCGCGATTAAATATTGAGGCAGAAGACACAAAGCCGTTCCTTCCTGGCAGGGCTGGTGCAGGGACAAACTCCCTGTGCAGAGTCTGAGACACTGCCCTGCTCCTCGTGTGCAGGAATCTGCCCATGATCCCACCACAACTTCATCCACCTCTTCATGTTAGCCAAGGGAGCATTTCCGCCTGGCACCAGATGGATGTGGAAAGTGGCCGGCCACGATCACTTCATGGAAACCTAAGGAGGAAAACAGCCACCACTACCCCACTTCTTCCCCCAGTAAGCTCAATTCTGCAGTCTGTCAGGAATTTGGATGGGCCCAGAAAGGGCTCTTGGGAAGGCCCCCCCTGCTGTGACTGCAGGAGGAAGGACATAGAAGAACAACACTGTTCTCCTGTCCATGCCGTGGTGCTGCAGTCACTGGTATTTGAGGCCACAGCTCAAGCCTTGTTCCTTAAAAGTACATCCCTCCACACCATTAGAAATTTTTCACTATGGGTGTGGTGAGGCGCTGGAACAAGTTGCCCAGGGAGGTGTTCAAGGCCAGGCTGGACGGGGCTTTGAGCAACCTGGTCTAGTGGGAGGTGTCCCTGCCCATGGCAGGGGGGTTGGAACTCGATGATCTTTAAGGTCCCTTCCAACCTAAACCATTCTGTGATTCTATGATTTTATGTTCACGTTCAGGGAATCCAATGTCTTCCATTAGGACCCTCAGACAATCTTGTACCATCACATCCTTTCTTAAAACCTCTGAGACCTGTGCCTGTACTGTCAGCTTTTCATGAACAACATTAATCTTTCCTTTTTAGAAATCACAAGGGGCTTTCCTGCCCCTAGGTATGGAGCACACCAGCCAATATATGGCTACTGAAACTAGGATTTTACAGGCCATAGTGTAGTGGGAAACACCAGAGAGGTCCTGGAATTTTGTCCCCTTTCTTTGAAGTGGGTATTTGACCATCTCCACAGTGACTTTTTCCCAAGCCTCAAAACCAACAGAATCTGTATGTAAAAATCTAGAGCTCCCTCTCTTGCCTCCTGTTTTTAATAATACACTGTGCCTATTACCCATGCTTGTTCTTGATTGTCCCAAAGCATTCCTACTGCTTCTGTCTCTTTAAAATCTGATTTTTCCACAAATGGCTCAGTTGTCTGGAAAGCTACCATCTGTTGTTTCCTTCATCATTTTTTCTACCTAAGAGATTGCATGACGTGAAGTTGTTGAGGGGCTGGGGTGCTGCCCTGACTCTGAAATGTCTGATGGCTTTCAGCACTCTGCCAGAAGGCTTTACTAAGCTGGATAAATAGAATAATAGAGGTCACACAAAGCAATATTCAGGGCCAAAGCAGGGTGAGGTATAAGATAGACACCTATCCTGCATTTTTCAAAAAATTCCAGTGCAAAATATTTCAACCGAGCCCAGAGAAAGCACAAAGTATAGCTCAAATTAAAAACCCATGAGATACAGACAAAGGAAAAAGAATTTGGGAACATGGATGCTTGGAGCACTGAGTGGAGAATGGGAGGAGTATGACATTGCTATCGAACATTGCAAGGGACAAGTGAGAGCTCTCCACTCACCTGGCAAACGTGCATTTTTTTCCCAGAAGAGGAAAGACTGAAAGGCCTGAAGGGGTTCACAGTGCTTAAGCTGAAACCCACAACATTACCCCCTGTTGTTGGCTCTGAAGCCCTCAGTAAGCGCAGCCATTCTGTAGATGGGAGATGGCCCAGGACCACCTTCTTCAAAGGAAATGCACAAAAGGAAGGAGGAAGCATTTTGTTAAGAAGGTGAACAGCTAGATCTTCCCATCTAACTACTTTCCACTGGGATCTTTATTTCCAGAAAATGAATTACAGCTCTTCTGATAAGTACTCCTCTAACGAATATGATCTTATCAAAACTTTCTGTTAAGCAGCAGGAACTTACTTCATTACCACTTCAAAGTGCTTTTTACCTTCCATGTGTGAGTGACATTATTTTGATGAGCCAAGTTCTCTTTACTGCTACATGGGCACAGCCTCCCCGTGAGAAAGGTTTTTATGATTTAAACTACCCAACATTAACTGAGATCAGTGGGGACTGACAGAAGATCAAGGTGTTTTTCTTAAAACAAAAAATTAAATACAAAAATTAAAAATGAGATTGTATAGAACATTACCTTCCAAAAAGCAAAGCGTAACACCAGGCAAACGCAGGTGGAAAAGCGCGTTTACTGGAGCTTAGGTCTCAGGAGATGAGAAATTCCCGAGCCACTATGACTGGACAGCTCGGCTTTCTACATTTTACTCAATTCATGGCAGAAAAAAGCTCCTAGAGTGTCACGATGTTCCTAGATGCAGTGTGGCCACGTAGCCAAAGCCAAAACCCAAACACCATGTGGCCTGGGCATGGCGCCAGTTACTTGGGGCCTCTCACACAGCTTATGCTTTGAAGCCATTACCTGGTGAGATGCAAGCCAAGTCCACCTCTCAGTGACCTGGACTCCTCTTTCTGCTGGACAAAATCAACAGGAGATGGCCACATGCCACTGAGAGAAGGATTTCAGAGAGCCCTCTAACAGCGACACTGGCGTACCAGCATAGCTCGGAGGAGGAGCAGCTCCTGACACCCAGGCAAAGACCCAACGGAGGGCTCCCCCACCCCTTCATCTGGCCCGAGGACGGCCACAAGCTTCACTCACAATTGCAAAGCTGTTCTTTCATGCCTGTGAAACTCAAGGGAGTGGAACGATCATGAATTAACAGCTTGATGAACGAGGCCCTATAAATTTTTGATCAAAGGCAAAAAATGCCAAAATGCTGATGAGGGCAAGCAGAAAACAGCTATTGCTGTAAGGACAATATTGGATCTCACTTACAAAAGAGTGGTTTGGTCACCACTGATGATATTTTTATGTCATCTCACTTATTTTTTCATCTCCATAACAAAGGATGTTATACCAGCTGGGAACTTCACTAGCACTGTTTCTGTTGCAATACCATCACTGGGAAAACTTTGTGAAAGGAAAAATCTAGAAAAAGTTGCTATTACAGGAAACAGTCCACTTTATATTGTAGGCTTTTTTTCATTATATCTAGATAATTCCTCCCAAAAAGCTACAAAGGTATTATTCACAGATGACATACTGAGACAGCATCTGTCTACCTGTCCTCTCCACTCCTCCTTTTCAACTGTGATCAGACTTGTTAAAGCTGCATTTACTTTAACAGGTGAATAATTATAATCTTCTGCACCATTGAAATAGCCAGAGGATATTAGCCGCATGCTGCAGATTAAAATTAACCATGACATTTCAGCTGCATGGTATATTTTAAAATCATTTCCAAATGTTTTGTATCTCAGTTGGGAAATTTTATTAAGCTAATTTGTATTCATTTCTGGGTCCAAAATTGAACAAATAAAAAGGGAGAAAGACAGAGACAGGGGAAGGCCATATCAGCAATAAATGACATAAATGTCTTCCTCTTCACATAGCTTTCTCTGCTGATGTCTGTGCACTATATCAATCGGCTCTTCTTACCTGGTGTATTTGCAGCCTGACCTTATCTTGGAATTTCACTTTACAATATTGCTTAAGAACCAGACAGTGGTGTGGCCTACAAACAGTGGTCCTGAGCATTATATATTGCCCATACTCAGTTTCTCATAACTTTGGCACCTTTCAGGCTTTCAGACTGAAATTTTGCCTCTTAGGTGTTTGCCTCAACCTTATTTAGCGATGGAGAATGCAGAAGTGCCAGAAAAGGGGACATGTTAGGCAAAACAATGCTTTTCCCATGTTAAAAAAAAAAATCTTCCAATTGTTGGGGAGGGTTGTGTAGTTTTTAGTGTAAGAGGTAATATTTGT